GAGATCGTGCGGGTCGAGTGCGCGAAATGCAGGCGAGAGTGCGATTTATCCCATACGTGCACAACCCTCTGCGGAGACCGTGCGGGTCCAGTGCGCGAAAAGCAGGCGCGAGGGCGACTTGTCCCACGCGCGCGCGTATCTGGGGAGCTGGAAGATGAGAACTGGGGACTTGGTAGTGCAACTTTAGTAGGCGGAGTCGTGGAGTATCTGGGGAGCTGGAAGATGAGAACTGGCGACTTGGTAGTACAACTTTAGTATGCGGAGTAGCTGGGGAGCTGGAGGATGAGAACTGGCGACTTGGTAGTACAACTGTAGTACGCGGAGTATCTGGGGAGCTGGTAGTACTTCCTAGAGAAGCTGTCTCCTGGAGTGATGGAAACGTTACCTCTGATCGTATATCGATGGATGCATCTCCTCTGACAGGTCACTGCTTCGACAAACTTGTTGCGTAGCTGCCTCAGCAATTTTCTATTTTCATTCCAGCTCGGTTTGTTCGGTGAGATTACCTGGAGGCGTGAACGCTGCTTCTCAAGGAATGGACACTCTGAGGTGGATGTAACGTCTCAGGGAGGGCCGCGCTCCCAGACAGAAGAGCTACGTGCTGTACTATTTCCCTTTACCAGCAGCTCAAATGCTCTCCAAGATGAGCTGAGCTGTCACCGCTTGGCCGCCGGTGGGGGGTTTGGGAGGCCTGCGTGCTACTTGGTTCACTATATCTAGAGTGAAGAACTTCACCACTTGCCCTTACCACCAGCTCAAATGCTCACGAAGATGAGCTGAGCTGTCACCGCTTGGCCGGGTTTGGGAGGCCTGCGCGCTACTTGGTTCACTATATCTAGAGTGAAGAACTACTTCACCACTTGCCCTTACCAGCACCTGGACCGCTCGCGACCTTGAGCGGAGCTGTCACTGCTTGCCCGCAGGTGAGGGCGTTACCATTGATACATAGAAAGACATACAAAGACACAGACATAGGTACACACACAGACAGGGACTCATACACACACACACAGACATAGATACACGCACAGAGACCCACACGCTGCCTCAACTCACTCGACTTAACACTTCACACTGAACACTTAACACATAACTCACACTCTGACTTCATACGTGATGAATAATGCTTTCGGGCCACTCGTCGTCTAGTTGAACAAAAGAATGTAATCATGGTAATCGCATCCAAGCGTCTTGGCGGCCTCATACTTCTACAACCTTTAGGTTTTGGATGCACACTTTGGCCCTTGTGTAGATTTATGTTTTTAGCAACAGATGATGACACATATTCACGCTTTCAAACCATGATTTGCACCAGGGCTTTCCATTTTGCACTGATGAGCGCCATTGCGTCAACTCCTTGAGCCTAGTGTTTGGGCCTCAGGTCTTTGGTCAAAAAAGGACACGTATCCCAAAACGCTCCAACACATGTCCAGAGCCCTGTGCTGCAGTCTGGAATCTGTTTTCAATGGTACCTTGGAATCTGCATGGTCGGGGTACCCCGTTTGCCCTCGAAACATTTTGTTTAGTTGGACTCGTTGGACACGCCCATGTGCGACAGAGCTTACACGTGCCTACTTTTAGCATGTGACTCAATCCGGCGAACTTCTGTGGAGTCTTGTGGTTTCCGAGGTTCCTGCCGCACAAGGGTGGTGACGTGGTGTCACCTTCGTATAGTGGCCCAGTCTTTGGGTGTCTTGGAGATGTTGGGACCGGATTGGCTTGGTGGGTCGGGGAGATTGCTTCACATCCATGTGGATCGTTTTAGATTTGGAAACAGATGATGTTGAAGATGTCAAAGTAGGGGGGTCCTGTTCAGATGTAGCACGTAGCAGCCCGCAAACCACCTTGCAAAGCCAGGGGCTGGAAGCTTATCCCAGGGTTTTGGAGACCTTCCTCCCCTTACATGCTGGACTACTCAGGTGATTTGCTTGTGTGCCCTTGCGGCCAAGAGATTGAGGTCTTCGAGCTCAAATCACTTGAGTACAGTTTCGTCCCTCCTGAGGAGGGGTTCTGACGCCGACCAACGCGTCGCAGAAAATGCTTCGACTTCAATGCCCTGTCCTCGGGCAACGGAGTTTTCGTGGCCCTTCCAGTGGCCGGAAGGAGCTACCTCACCGGACACGTCATGGAAAGAAAAAGGTCGAGGGTGGGATGGTGATGGGTGATGGCTGTCTCTGAAACCTAGATACAAAGATGAACAATCTCATCCCCCAGAGGACAAACACTTGATGGCCACGGCGCAGGTCGCCTGGGGAGAGCTGTGCGAGTCGGGTCTGCTGGAGCTGCTCACACGGCTACTGGTGCCCAGCTTCTCTGAGGTGGGAATGCAAAGCGACCTCCACCTTTCCACTTTTCTTTGTTTCTAAATAGCAATGGCCTCCAACCGAATAGCGATGTCCTCCTACCTAGTAACGTTGGCCTCCAACTTAAAAGCGATGGCCTCCACCCTAGTAGCGATGGCCGCCAACCTAATAGCGATGGCCTCCACCCTAGTAGCGATGGCCTCCAAC